ATCTCAAGAACTGAGAGGTGGAAATCATTACCTTCAGTTCCTCCATTTCTGGTTTCTCCCTAAACAGTGAGAGCAAACAGGTGTCATTTCATGTACCAACTCTGATTGACCTGGAGTGGTTGTGGTAAGAAAGACGCAGGGCTGGCTGGTTAGCTCAGTTGGCTACAGCATGGTGCTGATAACCCCAAGGTCCAGGGTTCAATCCCCATACTGGCCAGCTGCCGAAGAAGAAAAGAAAAGGGGGGGGGGCGGCCCATGGCTCACTTGGGAGAGTGTGGTGCTGAGAACACCAAGGCCACGGGTTCAGATCCCTGTATAGGGATGGCCAGTTAGCTCACTTCGGAGAGTGTGGTGCTGACAACTCCAAATCAAGGGTTAAGGGCCGAGCCCGTGGCGCACTCGGGAGAGTGCAGCGCTCCCACCGCGGGTTCGGATCCTATATAGGGATGACCCGTGCGCTCACTGGCTGAGTGGGCGGTGCGGCCAGTCTCAAAAAAAAAAAAAAAGGGTTAAGATCCCCTTACCGGTCATCTTTAAAAAACCAAACAAACAAAAAACACGAAGATGTTGAGGCTGTGTCTGGGCTCAAAGGTATCATGATTGATTAATAATGCCTTCCACAGGTACAGGATATGAAAGAGGTATTTTATATGCCTTTTAATTTCATCACATATTTTAATTTGGAAAGAGAGAGAACAGCAAAGCATTTTCAGCAAGCACCCAGAAGAATGGGAGTGGAACCAAAAGCATTCATTCATTAAATACTACTAGCTCGCCAAATGCCAGGCACTGAAATACTCTTAAGTCACAGAATGTTTGATAGGTTCAGTGGGAGTTTAAGGGAGTCACGAAAGACATTCTGGATGAGGTGACTGTTAAGCTAATTCCTTAAGGATAAGTGGAACTGAGCCAGGCAAAAGGAAGGGGATGGGCTAGAGAGCCAAGTGGTGCGATAGGCAGAGGGACTGATGTGGGTAAGTGGAGGCCAGTGATAGCATGGTACCATTTGTGAGGTTGCAAACCATTCAGAAAGGCTACAGCACAGATTTCAAGGTGGGTAATAGGGAGCCACTAAGGCTTCTAGGCAGGGAGTGGAAAGACAAAATAACATCTAAGTTTCCCCACCCCTGCCATCTAATTGTTAATTCTCTAGATCAGCTGCAAAAGTGACCTAAAAAATGAGAAAGTAGGCCTCACAGGAGTCAATCTTGCAAACTGATCAGTCATGTGAGATCCGATTACTGGATGAAGGTAGAGAAAGAAGATGGACAAAGGGCTGGTCTCTAAGTATATGCAGTAAAACCTGTACAACCCAAGAGATTCAGACTGGAGATACAGAGGAGGGGCTAGCCCAAGATGTGCATGCTCTAAACACGGCAAGTGGGAAACTGATCTGTAGCCCATACCCAGTGAAGCAAAAGACTAAGCCCAGCCAATTCTACCACAAACCACACCCAACAAAGGTTTAAGAAATGTGGCTGCTTTAATAGGTTGAGGGCCTCCACACCCTTCAGCCCAGCAATTTCACTTCTAAAAATGAGAAATAACCAAAGAGTGTGTGAAGAAACATATACAAGGATGTTCACTGCAGCCTTGTTTGCCAGAGCAAAAAATACGAGGCAATGTGAATATCCAACAGTACGGGATTGGTTAAATAGACAATGGCCACATTCAAACAATGGAATCCTAAACAGCTATGAAAAATGATGACAGAAATGGAAAGACAGTCATGCTATATTGTTAGCTGGAAAAGGAAGTTATACTTTTTTTTCCAAAGATAAATAGAAATGAGTGTGGAAAGAAAATACTATGTGAATGTGAGAGGATTAAGTGAACTAATCTTTATAGAGGACTTTTGCATAGTAAGTGCCCAATAAATGACAGAGAGATTTGCATATAACATTTGTTTTTGCTCCATTTCCCCTCAATCAACAGTCATCCTTGCAGAATTAAATACTTTTTAAAAACACAGCTTTAGCCCTTGGTCATATTTATATCTAGAGCAATGGTTCTTAATCGGGGTAATTTTTGCCTCCCTAGAGACACAGTATTTTAGATAATCACAACATGGGGAGACGGGGTGCTACCGGTATCCACTAGGTAGAGGCCGAGGATGCTGATAAACATCTTACAATGCACAGGACAGCCCTACCACAAAGAATGATCCAGCCCCAAATGCTGGCAGTGCCATGGTGGAAAAACCCTGGCTTGGAGGAAACTCACTGCAATGGCTTTCAGACTCCTTGCTTCCATCACCCCAGACCAGCTCCATTCAAGAGTCACACACACCACTCAGATCACTCAGGTGAGCAGATGCTCCCAAGATCTAGACAAACCCCTGATGGTGGATTTCAATCAACCACTGAGTCCTGGAGAAAAGCCACCAGTGGAAGAATCCTCCTAAAACTTGAGTCTTAAACCCTCAGGAGAAATTCCCTCCCCAACCCCCACCACCGAGAAGAACACCATGGTTTAAAATGAATTATCACTTTTTTTTTTAGAGTGCTAAGAATTATTCTCTTTGGTGAACACAAACAGCTCTGGTGGTTAAATCCCCAACCCCCACCACCGAGAAGAACACCATGGTTTAAAATGAATTATCACTTTTTTTTTTTTTTTAGAGTGCTAAGAATTATTCTCTTTGGTGAACACAAACAGCTCTGGTGGTTAATATGTTGTGGGCCAACCCCACTGAGGTTTCTGCATAAATGGTGCTTCTGTTAACACATGTGACACCCCACAATACAGGGATCACAGCAAAGACAAGGATCCTTTGAGACCAGTGAAAAGGAGGAGGAGATGCTCTTCAGCCCTGGCACTAGATCACTGCTGGCTCCAGTTACCACCTCCCCCTCTCCTCTGAAAGCAGACAGATAACAGCATCAAATAAAGATGCCCCCAAATGTACAACTGATCGGTAATCTCACTGAAGATAAGGGAAGAAAAGACTACAGAGCTTAACCTGGGGTTTCTCCACCTTGCAGGTGCTGACATTTGGTGCTGTATCATTATTTGTGGCAGAGGACTAGCCTGTGCTTTGTAGGATGTTTAGCAGCATCCCTGACCTCTATCCGAGAAGCCAGTATCAAGCCACTCCCTCCCAAGTTGTGACAAACAAAAAACGTCTCCAGATATTTCCAGATGTCCCCTGAGGGGCAAAATTGCCCTCAGTTGAGAACCACTGGCTTAAACAGATTCTAAATCCTTGTCCAGGGCAAGCTGTCTCTAATCATCAAATATTCATAAAACCAAAGAGGAAAAAATAAAATAAAACAAAACAAAACTCTTTCACAAAAATAACTTCTCAATGCTAAATCCAGTTAGCTCCTAAGTCCCTGCCTGGAGATGCAGTATTATCTCAAGACTGTGATACTGATAGTAAGAAAGTGTTGTACATTCAACAGTATTAACTGAGCACCTACTATGTAGCAGGCATTGCTCTGGGCACTGGGGACACAGCAGTGGATGTAAAAGACCAAGGCCCTGATCTCAGGTTGCTTATTCAGGTCTGAGAATCATATAAACCAGGCAGTTGCACACTGATTAATCATCTACTACAAGAAGGAACTAAAACTGGATCCAGGAACTTATGTGTGTGTGTGTGTATATATATATATATATATATGTATAACCACTCCCCCACAGCTGAGATCTATTTGGCACTTACAAACTCAGTTCTTTACACACACCACCTCATTTACTCCTCACAGCTAGCCTAGGAGACCAGCACCCCCACTTCACAGATGGGAACACTGAGGCTCAAGAGGTGGAGAAGAACTGTGGACTCCACCTAACTACACCGCCCCCACCCCACCCCCACCCCCGGAGCTCACGGCACTCAGGAGACTACCACCAACAAGCCCTGATCACCCACTAGGGGCAAAGTGAGTGACTGCCCTGGATGCCAAATTTCTTCAGTTAGTCGGTCTTAAGGTTTTGCCTGTTTGTGGGTTTCAGCTGGACTCTGCCTTGGGGGCTGGTATCTTCCTGCAATGCCACCAAGTGCATCAGCAGGGCGGGGCACTGGGAGAGCCCACATGGAGAAGAAAGCAGAAGCTCAGGTTGCACCCTTTACCCAACCTGAAAAGCAAAGGGCAGGGGCAGATGGCACTGGCTTCTATTTCCCATTTTCCATCCAGGGGCTGGGCGGGGCTGGGCTGAAGGAGAGGAGGAAAAAGGGTCTGAAACTGACTTAGAGAACACCTTCCCAGTTCTCTCAGGACCTTCTTCAACACGACCTATGGGGGAAGGGTCTTCCTCTTTTAGAGCCCAAACTGAGGGAGGGACTCCTGCCCAGCACCCGGTGTCTGACATCATCCCACAAAGCAGCTCCCCCTTTCCTGACCCCTGTTCTAAATGGAGGGAAAACTTTAGGTGGCTTCCCCTAGAAACAGGCCCTGGAGTTTTACAACTCCATCTTCAAAATCCTCCTGCCTGTCCCGCCTCATCAGGCTTCCTCCCCTTGGAGGGGAGGGAGACAGAGTCTTTGATTTGGAATGGAGAAATTGTGAGGGAGAAAGGGTACCCCGAGAGAGAGGCTGGAGAATTTAAGGGAAAAAATAGGTTTATAAAATGGGAGAATTCATTTTAAGAGGGGAGCTGTGGGACATTCTAAAAGAAAAGAAGGGGTGAAGGACTTTGGGGGAGACGAAGGATTGGAAAATGCCTAGGGGAGATGGAACTTAGTAAGGGGTGTTTGGGAGAGATGGGTGATTGGGGCAGGGGAGGACTGGGGGACATCTGAGGGATGTGAGGAATGTGAGATGCCGGGGGAGATGGAGGATGTGACATGTGCATGGGAAAGAGGATTTGGGAGTGGTCGGGGGCAGGAATAATTTGGGGCGCTTGGAGGGAAAGGGGATCTCGGGTGCCTAGGGAAATAGGACTCGGGGTGCCTAGGGGAGAGATGACTTGGGGTTGCTCGGGAGGAGGATGCGGGTGCGCCTGGGAGCGATCTGGGGCAAGGCTGCGGGCCAGCTCCCCGCTGCACCCCGGCTCACCGAAGAAGGGCGGCAGGTGGGACACCGCCTCGAGGAAGGGCCCGGTCTCGATCTGCTTGTCCGCGGGCAGCGGCTTCAGCAGGTGCTCGGCCAGCAGCGCCATTTCGGGGTCGAGGCCCGCGGTGATGCCCCAGCCGGCGCCGCGGGCGTCCACGCCG